GTTTTATGTAAAATTGACATTTTATGGTAAGATTTTTTTGCAGTATTTTATAAGTTTTTTTTTTCCCTTCAAGAGGTAACTTTCTTTGGTTTGCTAATGGTAAAGAATATAGGGTAGAAAGGGATCTGGTATGAGAATCCGAGGATCTGTATTTTCATTTTTATTTTAATCGATCTCTTATGCCTGTCACTCACCTTCTTGATGATCTAATTTTCTTTTGTACAATGAGGATGCCACATAGGTTCATCAGAAGTTTACTGTGGGAATTAAATACCCAACTCATTGTATTATTGAGAAGAACGAGAGAGTGAAAGAATGTGGAAACACTATAAAAAGCCATAAAAGTGTTAGACATTATCATTATAATTATATGACCTATTTTCCAAATCCAAATTGGACCACATGGTATGAGAGAGGATTTTTGTGTTACTTCCAAGGGTGAGAGGCTGTCTGCAAAATGTGATTTGAAAGCCAGAATAATTTGGCACATTTTGATGGTTTTTGGGAGCAATGATAAAAAGTTTTGAAATAGTGGCAGTTCAGTAACATTTATGATTTTGTGGTCATTATATATGATATTTCTTTGAAAAAAGTATTTTTGTTTTTTGTATAAGTAGATCTTTATTATCATAGAATCTCAGAGCTGGGGCATTTGGTGATTCTAATATGTTTTCTTCCTTAATCTTCAGAATAAATGCTGGACAAAGACTTTTTAGGGAAGCTAATTTCACAAGTTCCCTTAATATGATAGCTTGACTTACTATGGAACATTCTTTTTTGGGGTTGTTGTTTGTTTTTATGTTTGGACCATATCTGCCAGTGCTCAGGGATTACTCCTGGCTCTGCATACAGGGATCACTCCTGGTGAGGTTCTGGGGACCACATGGGATGCTGGTGATCAAACCCTGGTCAGCCATGTGCAAGGCAAGTGCCCTGTCTACCTATTGCTTCATCCCTTATATAAGAATTCTGAAACTGGGGAAAAAATTCTTAAATTGAAAAGGAAGAATTTGTGTAGTAAATTATTTAATAGTAATAATTATATGAAATTATGCAGAGTACAGAGGTTATATTGGTCGCCTTACCCACAATTTCCCTGGTTCAATATCTGGAACTGTATATGGTTCCTCCAGCACCACTATGAGTGATTCCTGAGCACAGAGCCAGGAGTAATCCTGAGTAAGCCAAGTATGACTCCCCTATATCCCCTTCCCTCACACAAATAATATGACAAAATAACTATTGGAATTTTCTAACTAAGGGATTTAAAAACTGGAGCCACAGTACAGTGGGTAGGGTGTTGCCTTGCATGTGACTGACATGGGTTCGCTTCCTGGTACCACATATGGTTCCCTGAGCATCTCCAGGAGTGATCCCTGAGCACAGAGCCAGGAGTAAGTCCTGAGCACAGCCTTGCCATTCCCTAAACCACCTTCCCCGCAAAAAACCAAACTCAAAGATGAAATCCCTTACAGCCTATAAACTAAATTAGTTTCTTCTAGAACATGTTATGTTTCTTAGATGTTATCTGTAAAAAGCTAATATACTTTCTTTGGTTTAACATCCACCATGATGAGCCCATATAGCATTCAATTCTCAAAATTAAAAAAGGCTCTTTGGAGTTCTTTGATTTTATTCTTGGGGCGGGGGGGGGGGGGCATAGGGTGTGGGGAGAGTTTCTGAAGCAGTGCTCAGAGGACCCAAGAGCTCCTCCTGGTAACACTCAGCAGGGCAGGGAATGCAGAGCTGCTTAGGCCTGGTGCCACGGGATACCAGGGCTAGCCTGGTGGTACTCAGGGGCCTTCAGGCTATACCTGACAGTGCTCTGAGACCCTCTGAGGCTGGACTTTGACCTTGGTTCAGAATGTGCATAGCATGTCCCTGACTGCTGACCACCAGCTATTGCCCACCATGATTATTTCCCTCCCTCCCTCCCTCCCTCCCTCCCTCCCTCCCTTCCTTCCTTCCTTCATTCCCTTTGGGTAACACTCAGAGGTGCTCAGGGCTTACTCCTTAATCTCTGCTCAGGGATCACTCCTGGTGGTACTCAGGGGAATATATATTATGCTGGGGGTCCAACCAGGATAAGCCGTGTGCAAAGCAAGTGCCTTAACCCCTGTGCTATTTCTCTGGCCAGTCATGTTTTAAAAATATAGTAGTATATAAGGCAGAGGCAATGGTCTGTTTCTTGCTATTCTTTAAGAAACTTAAGTTTCCCCCCTCCCTTTTCTTTCATCTTATTCTGCCTTTCATAAAAGGTTTGAGATTTATGGCTTGAGGCTTTATAAATCTTTTGTTTTTTACTTTCACAGTCATGTTGCAAAACAGTAAAGGGTTTATTTTTATTTTCAGTGACAAGAATGGAAATTTTCTAGAGTTTATTTTTACTGACATAGTAACTTGAAGATCATAGTAACTCAGAATAGATAGACTTCATATTATTTCATGAAGCCTTTGAATTATTCGGTACAAACCATAAACTATGTGATGAGTTTAGAAGCCCAAATAATTTGAGTTTTGATGCTAATATTCAGTTGATGTTTCAGTTTTTACTCAGATGTCTGAAACTTATGGGTTCCAGCCCCGAGATTGGTTGTGAAAGGCCGAACTGATTTGCAGCTGGACTAAAACAAACAAATCTATATCCTTGGCTGAGAGGCTGCCCCATGAATTATGCATTTGTAGCCTTTGTGTCACTTTAGAGTTTAGACAGAACCAGAGAGTGAAGCAGATGCAGTGGTACAAAACTGGGTATGGTGACCAGGAGTTACCATGCAGGAGATGTTCTGTCATGTTGGCACAGTTCTCTTAGGGATTGGGGCAGGCAGCACACAAACTGGTGGAATGGCTTGGACTTGTCTTTTAGCTCTGTTGGGGGTTGGTTTTTCAATGAAAAGTGGAATCTTTATTCTTGACAATTTCTGCTGCCAGACCGCTGATGGAGGCTCTCAATCTGGGTGTTTAGGAATCCTTTCTCTGTCCAACAAACTCAGCCGAAAAAGAAAAATTGGATGTTAGGGGAGATGGACTCCTCACTATAGGGGTCTCTTCGGATTGTGTAGAACAGCATTTAGCCTGAGCCTTCCTCAGTGGTATCGAGATCTTGCTGAGTTTATTATTCATATGAATCGGATCACTGTGTATTAATGAAAAGAATGTATATCTAATATGGACACAGGCAATCATCAGAGAAGATAAGTGCTTCCCTAAAGCTTGATAGTCATTGACAGTTGGCATGTGGATGGTAACACTGAATCAGACTGGGTAGCTGTATTTTTAATTGCTGGTTCACTGGATTATCACACATTGGCTCAGTTGGAGTTCTGAACTTGAGTGGGTATCAAAGCAAAAAATCTAGCATCATGTGGGTGTTTCAAAATGCCAGATTTGTTTTTATGGAGTTAGTAGTATAATATCTTCTTTCTTTTGCAATTCCTGCTGAAATCTAAAGTTGTGAAACTCAAGGGAACAGGGAACTCACACTTTAGGCTGGTCTATTCTGTGGCTTAGCCTGAGTGCTTTGTTTCAGGTATTACACATCCCAGGCTAATTCAGAAGTGAAATCTTTGAGGAAGAGTGAGAAAATATTCTTTGAAACACAGAAGGTTAGAATACATAGTTTTCCTTCTTCAGTCCAGGAGACTCAGGGTGTTTTGCCAAATAGAGATGGAAAAATTGCAATTCAGTAAGCATTTACAAAGCCCTCACTTTGTAGTCCTTTTATTTTACTTTCCCCAGCTTTATTGGGATATGATTGACACATATAATATGTAAGTTTGAATTGTACAACTATTGTTTGATCCATTTATATAATGCAAAATGATTACCAACATAGCAGTTCTACAACCTCCGTTCTGTCATATAGCTAATGTTTCTTTCTTTCCTTTTTTTGTGGTGTGACCATTTAGGGCCTATTTTTAAAGCAACATTCATGTATATGGTATAATATCATTACCTATGATTGCTGTGTTGTACACTAGGTCCCCCAATTCATTAATCTTATAAGTGGAAGCATGTGTCCTTGAATACTGTCTCATTTTCCCTACCCTCTACCCTCTGGTAGCCATTTCTCAGCTGTTTCTCAGAGATATTTTAGGTCACACACAAGCATTAAAATCATTAGCACACATCTTTCCTTTTCAGATCTAACAGTTGATAAGTTCATAAAAAACTGTCATTTGATATTGAAGTTTTAAATCTGTCAAACTGTACCAGTATTTTCAGTTTGATATCTATAATAGTATTAATAATACCATATATTTATACATTGACTGATAGTTTAAAGTGTTCTCTCATATTATCCAAAATCTGACTCTGTAACCTTATGGTTATTTGTGACTTTCATGTTACCTGTAGAAGATGATCATAATGATCTTTGATTTCATGGTGAAAGAATCTGTCACTAGCTAATATATAAAGCAAATTATGAATTGATTTTTAAAGAATACCCTTCACAAGGGAAAATTAAGTAGTAAGATCCTTGTCGTCTATTCAGCTTTCTGTGTGACAGTGGTTGACAATTGAGAAATTATTTCTTTGCTGAGCTTTTGCTTTATTTAATATGAGTCATGTTAAGAAACAGTACCTAAATCAGAAGGCAAGTGTAATTGAATCACAAAAAAGATCAGTTGTTTTCATTTTTCAAAACCTTTTCTTAGCTGTTTTTTATGTTTTACTTCTCAATATTTGTGCATTCATATGGGATATGAACTATGAAGAATAAGCTAAAATATGACTTCCCATTTGTAAGCCAAACTGGCAAATGCCTTTTTTCTTATTATCTTTAAATTGCAAATGTCTGAAGGCCTGTCCTAATTGGATGCATCATCTTGAGATTTAAATGCATTAGAAAATTTAAACGTGATTTGAAAAATGAACACGCTGCCAGGGAGGTGGGGCTGGGCTGACGGTAAAGAAATTGTGCAAACAAAATTGGATTAATGCGTTCTTTTCAAAGAGTTATTGATTATATAAATAAGTAACCTCTGCTTTTCTTTCAGAACTTTGCCGAAAACACCATGAATGAACTCCTTGGCTGGTATGGCTATGATAAGGTTGAATTGAAAGATGGTGAAGATATTGAATTCAGGAGCTACCCTACAGATGGAGAGAGCCGGCAGCACATTTCTGTTCTCAAAGGTAATGACATTTAATGTCCCTTTGTTCATGCAAAGAAGGATTAACTATCTCAACCTGCCAGAATTGAGTTGCTTTGGGACTCGTTTGTTGATTATGCCAATGGTTGATTTAAATGTACATCCTCTGTAGTGGTTCCCCCTAAGCAGAATTCCACAGAATAGAAGGGCACAGCATAAAACAAAAATAGACAGCTTAATCTTCAAGCAACAGGAGAGCTAGCAACACAAGGGCTAGGGAGTTTAATGTTTGTGGTAAGGCCCTCAAATTTATAGAAAGGGGTGACATTTGCTAACTACTAGTTTCCCTGAAACCTTTGATAGATCTGCTTTTGAGGTCTGGTGCTTGGGATTAAGTGCAACCCCATTTAGATTTTTAGGCTACAAGAAGGAACCATAGTTAGTTTGGTAATTCTTCCTCCCTCCCCTTGTTTGGAGGGAATTCTAAGGGGAGCCATATTTATATTTTGTGTTTGAAATTTTCATCCTATAGGACTGGAAGAGAAATTGAGAGAAGTAGATGGTTGGATCCTATTCTATTCTATATGGATTTTTCTTACACCAGAAGCAGAGAAAATTAAAGACTTATGTGGTTGTTAATATATATATTGATTTTATGAACCAATTTAGAATGAGAATTTATTTGTGAAAAAAGATGATGAGTATGCAAGGAGTGACTTGTTTGGAGAACTTAAAGTGCGGGTAAATTCATTGTGTGGCTTCATTGGCAATTTATCAGTGTTTGCATTGCATTCAAAATCTATTGGCATAAAATACCTGTTCATGCATTTTATTTCCAGTCTCTAAGATAGCACTTTTCCTTCTTATATGCCAAGCAACGAAATATAAATGAGCTGTCCTGCAGGCATGTGGAATTGAACGTACATGACAAATTTTATGTTAAGCTTGCTATGAAATTGTACACTTCATGTTACAGAGATAGTATCATCAATTCACTGTAAATGAAAAATGCAAGTCATGAGTTTGTATTCTATAAGTTAATAGCTCGTATAATGCTTGGTCTGGGAATAATCTTTGCCTCTGGGGAACATGGAGAGTGCCAGGATATGTTACTAGAGGGAAAAGTTGTTTTCTATGGTTGAGGTTGTGTGTGTGTATGTCCGTGTATGTCTATGTTGATTTCTCCAAGAGGATAAAATCAATAAGGGTTCATTTTATTGTAGGTTTTCCTTATTTTTCATTTTTGTTCATTTTTAAATGGATATTAATAAGTTGACATAAGGGTATATCTTGTGAAACAACAATTTCCTTCTAATCATCTTTTTTTTCTTGATGGTTCACTTGATTATATTGTAACTCAAGTTTATAATATAGTAGAACGTAGTTATGGTACCAAGATCAGGTTGTAGGCTTTCCCCCATAGCAGGAGAGATAGGCTGGCTATATATCACTTTGTACATGGAAAAGGTTAATTGCCTCTCAATTTTCTCTGGGCTTTCCCAGTGCTAAAATTCATCACCAGGATACATTTGGGATGATAGCTATCGTAGTGGGGCCAATTATAGAGGAACCCATTGAAAATTTATGGTAACAAGACTGAAAAGGTCCAGGATGGTCTGTGGAGTGCTGGTAAAGCATTTTAAGATTTGCAAGGGAAATTTTTGTTATATAGTCATTTTACTTGAGAAAATGTGATAAGGAAAACAAGCCCTTCTGTCATGTTGATTATCATTTTTGTCTTTTTTTCAGAAAATTCTTTGCCAAAACCAAAATTACCTGAGGACAGTGTTATTTCACCCTACAACATAAGCACAGGCTATTCAGGGCTTGCCACAGGAAATGGACTCAGTGACTCACCGGCAGGGTCAAAGGATCATGGCAATGTGCCCATTATTGTACCTTTAATTCCACCACCTTTTATAAAGCCACCAGCAGGTAAGTCACTGGGGTTTCTGATGATCAGTTCTAGGAAGTTGTTTTAACTCTCTTCTGAATAATTATGGAGCATGCCACTGAATTTTGGAAAAGTCTGTTTTAAGAACTTTGTAGATGAGAAATATAGTTATATGTATTATTTGAATCAGTATTTCTGTAATCAAGCAAGTTCCTCAAACTACTGCTTATTAGACTCAAGTTTTCAGCTGACGATAAACTTTGCCTACTCCTGGCTACAAAACAGCGTTCTTTTCCTTCTCTGAAATTGTGTTTAAGAAGATGAAATCATTTTGAGAGTAAGAGATGACTGACTGACTGGTTAGCAGAAGTAAGTGGCCATGACTGAGCTGGGGGCGCTGGGTCCCCTCTGTGTGTTTGGAGGAAGGGGTGTGGGACAGGTTTGTTTTTCAGTCAGCCTTCTAAATCCACTTAAGAAACAACCGAGACTCTCCATCTCTACCCACAGTTCTTTCTAATTCCTGGAAAGCTTTCTTTCAGAGCTATTAAAAAAATAAAAATCAAAGTAGGAATTTCATCTCATGGAAACATAATCGGCTCTTTTATTTCCAGGAAAATGAGATGGAACATTGGGTTAGAGCTGGATGGCCATGGACAGACCCAACGTGGTATGGCAGGCTAGACTGCAGATAGCTTTCATCCATCCGGAGAAAGAAGTTCAGTAGTATTGTATCTGACTTGCTGTGTAATGTTGGAATTCAGCTAGAATGCTGAATTGCTACACTGGTTATCTTTCTGTATATTGAATTGAACACTGATACAAAAGTTGAGTATTATAGTGTTAAGCATTGTGATCTGCTAAAGCTAGCGAATGCTTTTCTTGTTTTGGGGCCATACCTGTTGGCAGTCAAGGTCTACACCCAGCTCTGTGCTCAGAGGTCACTCTTGGCATCCTTGGGGGATCATATGTGGTACCAGGGATCAAACCAGATTTATCAGCATGCAAGACAAGTGCCTGAATCCCTGTACTCTCTGGCCCTCAAGAAAATGAATATTTTTTTAGGAAAGATAAGTATTTGGTTATGTTTTCAAAAATAGCTAAAATTTTTACAGTTATAAATTCCTTGGCTTACTTTATATTATAGATATATTTATAATAGTTTATAGGTCACTAACATTTTCCTTCATGATATGGGTACATTCTCTTGCTTGACCAATTACATTTTTTTGGTCTATTTTTGGGCCACACTCAGCTGTGCTCAGGGATTACTTTTGGCTCTATGTTCAGGGATCACTCCTGGTGGGCATGGGAACCAATGGGTTCCAGAGCTGAAACCCAGGTTAGCTATGTGTAAGGCTGACCACTGTGCTGTCTCTCTGGCTCCTCAGATATGTGTTAGCATTAAAAAATGTTCCTTTATATTGAGGTCCTTAGTCATTAAGGTTTATTTTCTGCCAGAATCACTTGTAATTTCGTCAGTGATAATAAATGATTTCTGTATCATATGAAGTTTGCCTTTTATTTTTATTTTTTATTTATTTATTTTTTTTGGCTTTTTGGATCACACCCAGCAATGCTCAGGGGTTACTCCTGGTTCTGCCTCAGGAATTGCTCCTGGCGGTCCTCAGGGGACCATATGGATGCTAGGGATAGAACTTGGGTCAGCCCTGGCCACTAAAGTTTGTCTTTTAATGCCTTAAAAAAAATCTCCTTTGATTTTTTTGTAAAGCAAAGGAACCCAGTTTTCGTCCCATGGGCCAAAGGCTTATTTGCATTAGTTACTTGGAGGGAAGGGTGACTAATTTTCTAAGACTAAGAGTTCATGATTGAATCTATGTTCAGTGGCTTAGATGAGTGGTGATGATGATTGACTGATCATTTGGGCAGTACAAGTAGGAGAAATGAACATGGATGTTAGGTTCAGACAGTTTGGGTCAAATCCTGGCTTCCTTGCTTGATAACTGTGAAAGTGGACAAGTTACATAGCTCTTTTCTCCTTAGTGTCTCCATCTGTTAAATGGGGATCACAGTTCCAGCTCATGGCATTGTTGTAAGAGGAGAAAATGTATGTTAAGCATCTAGCCTACTGCCTGCCACATGGAAGCCATTGAGTCAATACCAGGCATCTTTTTTCCCCCCATTCCTAATTCTGCCCTAGAGTTATCATGCACATAATTTGTGCACAAAAAGGTGTGCATCTAAATGCAAATTCCCCTCTAAGATTTATTTGAGCAAAGCAAACAGCTTTAGAAATTAGCATAGCTGAGGCAAGCAGGAGTTTGGCATGCCAAAAAACCTGCCCTGGAGTTTCCTGCTCAGCCAGCCACGTGGAATTCAAGCACACAGCTCCCATTTAACTCTAATTCCACATCAGATCAGGAAATAAATATGCAAAGGGAGAGAGGCCAAAAATTGAGTCTTGGAAGTCTTAGATGTAGGAACTCTGAGGAATTAGAAGCCAGAGTAACTGAACACCAGTGGTTTTTTAGCCTTCTTCCATGGAACTCCATGGCACTCATCCGGTGAAAAGAAAATGTAGGGAAGGCCGGGTTTAACTTTCTGTACTTTTTCTAAACCTTGTCTCTGTCCTATTTATAATAAATATTTTGTCATATTTTATATGATGAAGTTAAATAGACAGTATCTCTCCTTTTCAGGAGCTCACTCTCTTAGTCTCTAAGTAGCAATATACAGGAGAGAGGAATTTTGGCCTAATCTGCCACAGAAATTGACTTACCTTTTCTGAGAAGGGCCAGATATTTCAGACTTTGAGGCTGCACAACTATCACAACTACCAGATTCTGCTGTTGTGGCAGGAAAACATCCATCGATAACACAGAAACAAATAGGCATAGCTGGGTTCTAACTTATTTACAACAAGTGTGCAGCAACCAAGATTTGAAACTAAGACTGGGAAAGAAGTTATGATATAATAGAGTGGTGAATAGAGTATCTAAGAGTCAGGCTGTGAGCTGTGTCCTGGTACTTTGTGTAATGTCATAAGGAAGGGACAGCCATATGGGCGGCACCAGTGACCGCAACAGAATATGCGGTGAGCTCTGGCACAAAGTGGGCACCCTACCAATATTTGTTGAATAAATAAATGGATGGCTGATGCTCCAATTCCTATTGTGCATACCTGGACAGTCTAGGATCCTGTTTTATTCACTGAGAAAATGCCAGTGTCTAGTTTGGCATGATCCCAAGCTGTCTGACCAGACCACAGTCTTCCTGACAGCAGTGTCAGTCATTATTTGTGGGTAAGTAGAGTCCACAGATCATCCAAAAACTTCCATCTAGTCAATTATTTCAATTCTCTCTCTTGCGGAAACATTGGCCAGAGCAGTCCCTGCAGGTCCCTGTGCTGAGGCACACTCTGTCAGTTTTCTGACTCGCATGCAGGCTCACAGGGCATTCCTGGGGGAAAGTAATAAATGCTGCAATGGCTGGAAGCAAAATGCCCTGTGATAATCGGCCCCTGCATAATTTATAGTTGTTTGCAGGTGACTGTTGAAATGTGCACCTCTTGTGAAATAGGGAAGATGAGGAATTTATGTGTACTTTGGATTCCTAGAGACAAAAGAGCACTTAGTGTTCAAAATTATTGTTGCACTGGAAACTAGCTATGTAAAAATGCTAATGGTCCCTAATATTTGCATTAAATCCTTTGTTATTTATGAAATTCATTCACGTTTATTATTTTATTTTATCTTTACAATAACTCTGGGAAATAGCATGTCAGTCTACATTAAACAAAGAACTGAAACTCAGCTAGGTTAAATGGCTTTCTCCACGTCATGTGGCTTCTAAGTATTTGAGCCAAGACTAGTGCTCTCTTCCAACTGTGAATCCAGTATTCTTTGAAATATAAAGTTGCCCTTTTTTGGCATATCTGTACAAAACTTCCCTAGACTGCATCAGAATAAAGATCATTTTCAGTCTGCTGCATTGGAAACAGATACAGGGATTCAGTTTGTTCAGGCGAAAGGTTGTTTTTTAAGTGTCCCTCTTTGGGGAGACTTTAGTTATTTTTCTGCCCAAGGATCTATAGGGGAGGTCTTGTAGGGTCGTGTAAAACCACCTAAGCTTGGTTTTACACAATTTGCCTTCCTGAGGCAAATTGCTGTTGCTGCTGCTGATCCTTCTCCTTCTCCTTCTCCTTCTCCTTCTCCTTCTCCTTCTCCTTCTCCTTCCCCTTCCCCTTCCCCCCTTCCCCCCTTCCCCCCTTCCCCCCTTCCCCCCTTCCCCCCTTCCCCCCTTCCCCCCTTCCTTCCCCCCTTCCCCCCTTCCCCCCTTCCCCCCTTCCCCCCTTCCCCCCTTCCCCCCTTCCCCCCTTCCCCTCCTTCTTCTTTCTTTCTTTTTTTTTTTGTTGTGGGGACCACACCCAGCAGCGTTCATGGTTTACTCCTGGCTTTGTGCTCAGGGATTACTCCTGGCTCAGGGGACCACATGGCATGCCGGGGATGAACTGAATTTGGCCATGTGCAAGGCAGAAACCCTACCCACTGTACTACTCTGGCCTCAAGGCAAGTTGCTTCTTGTTTGAGGTGCTGCATCTGGTCACTCTTCACCAAGAGTGAGTTTCCCCTGGACAGGTTCTCCACTGCCCCTGTCCATTTCCAGCAGTCAAAGGGATTTGATTGGGAACATGAAGCTTCCAGGTGCTCTTGGATCTCCACACTCCCTTTGTACAGTTGCATGAACTGTGGGGGTTGCGTGTTTCTGGGGCATGGGGAACTGCTATTCACTGGAGAGGGGGAGCTCCATGTGCTTTGACAATTACCACAAACATTGACTGTGCTCTGACTGCACACGCTTTCCTCTGTCCGCAGGAGAGTTCAATTGCTCACCCTCTTTCAGAGACAGCCTGGCCCTTGGGGTAGGATTTGTGACATCACAGTTGTTACTATGGTGATAGACTTGTTATAAACATGAGATAATGGCTGATTTTGCACTTTCCTTATTTGTTTAACCCCCTCAAGCAGGAAGGGAATCACCCATTTTCCTTAAATAAGAATCACAGACTTCTGCAGTGTCTGCA